CGCTCTTACAATTAAGCTGGACATGAGAAATAAATGCTATTCAAAATATTTCCATGATTAGGTGCTTATTGTGGTTTTTGCTAAATTTGTGCTAAGAGAGATCTGTGTACCACTGAGTGCATACTCAGAGCCTGTGCAGTGTTGTGCTGCCATCAAGAATAACTGAATCACTCCTCCAGTTTACATTCCTCAGTACAAAAATACATTTCTGATGTGAAAAAAGTTTTAAATGAGGTCTTGTTTCCAGGGCTACCTGTGTATATCCCTGAATGAGGACAACATCCTTTCCTTTACTGTGCCAAATAACAATTTATTCTATTAGACTCTTTTTATTATTTTTTTTCACTCCACCACAGAGCATTCTTCTTCCACTATGGGTGCTTTTCTGGTTTGTTTCACATATAGTTACAAACCTGCAATCACAGTACAAGTTTGTTTTGGTGTCCTTTAAATTAATGAACTTTAAAATAAAGAAATTCTGTGCTCCCAATTGAAAATACTTGTATTTGAAACAGCATGGTTCAATTTTTTTTATTTTTTTTTCCCTCCAAAAAACCACTAATTCCCAGCTTGTGTTGGCAAACTTACCATTTGTAGAGCTGGACATGATAAAGCAAACACAGTCATACACGGAAGGGTTTTCTCGGATCCTCTCAACCCAGACACTGGCCACTTCAGGCTGGGAGAGGCAGGTTAACAACAACCTACACAAGAATTGCCCATTTAACAAAGTAGATGCCAATTAACTGATTTGAGCTGTACAAGTGTAAATCCAAAACAATGAGAACAAAGTGACAGAAATAGGAATCATGCTCACAGCAAATCAATTCCAGAACAATGTGGAAATTACAAAAAGATAGGATGAGAGGATAATAAAATAGTGATCCCACTTGTCAATTTTCTTCCCAGGCCTCAGAACATATCAGAACTACACTAATGATGCATAAATTTCTGAGATGTCCTACCTGCTTGTTTCCAGGAGTGTTGGAGAGTCTGAATCACACAAACGTTGCAGTAATACTTGGCTTTGAGAAAATGCAAGATTAGATTAATAGAATCACAGAATAGTATGGGTTGAAATGCACTTTAAAGATCACCTAGTTCCAACCCTCCTGTATGGTCAGGAGCACCTCCCACTAGCCCAGATTGCTCAAAGCCCCATACAACCTGACCTTCAGTGCTTCCAGGGATGGGGCATCTACCACATCTCTGGGCAACCTGTGCTAATATTTCACCAGCCTCATTGTAAAAAATTCCTCCCTTATAGCTAGACTAAAACTACCTTCTTTTAGTTTAAAAACATAACCCTTGTCCTATTACAACAGGCCCTGCAAAGGTTTGTCCCCATCTTGTCTCCCTTTAAGTACTGAAAGGCCATAATAAAGTGTCCCTGGAGCTTTCTCTTCTTTAGGTTGAACAAGTCCAGCTCTCTCAGCCTGTCTTCACAGGAGAGGTGCTACAGCCCTCTGATCATTTCTGTGGCCCTCTGCACTCGCTCCAACAGCTCCATGTCTTTCCTGCACTTGAGGACTCCAGAGCTGGACACAGTACTCTAAGTCACGTCTCAGGAAAGAGGAGTAGAAGGGCAGAATCACCCCCCTGGCCCTGCTGACCACACTTCTTTTGATGCAGCCCAGGACACAGTTGGCTCTCTGGGCTGCAAGTGCACATTGTCAACTCACATCGAGCTTCTCATCCACCAGTACTCACAAGTTCTCTGCAGTGCTGCTCTCAATCTCTTCATCCCCCAGCCTATATTGATACTGGGGATTGCCCCAACCCAGGTGCAGGACCTTGCACTTGGCCCTGCTGAATGTCGGGCCCACTTCTCAAGCTTGTCCAGGTCCCTGTGAATGTCCCTCAGACACGTCAATTGCACCATTCAGCTTGGAGTTACCTACAAACTTGACTGGTGCACTTGATTCTGCTGTCTGTCATTGATAAAGATAGTAAACAGCACTGGTCCCAGTACAGACCCCTGAGAGGCACCATTTGTCACTAATCTCCAGCTGGATACTGACCTGTCAACCACTACCCTCTGGATGTGACCACCCAACTAACTCCTTGGGAACAGTCCACCATCAAATCCATAGCCCTCCAATTTAGACTCCAATAAAAACTATCTTTGTTAAGAAAAAAGTTAGCAAAAAGTGAATTTCACACTTGGAGCCAGGTGCTGAGACCAAAAGCAGCTCTTCCTGACTGTGCATGCATTGCCAATGTTTCAAGATTGCCAAACTTAGAAACTAAAGGTTTGAGAACTTGACTGGTGAGTAAAAACAACAACAAAAAAGTGGTCTGTATCCTTTTTTCTTTCACTGAACACTTCCCACACAACTACAGTCAGCCAAAAAGGTGAAAATGAAGATGAGGCATGGCAGGCAAACTTAGTTCCTTCTGTAACATATATTTGGTAATTCTGAGTCCAGAAAAGCAGTACTCATGCATGTATGAAGCACATATACACTTACCCAAGGTTCTCATCTTTACTAATTGACATGCATATGTCTTGGAAACAGGCCATATTTCCTAATATTCCCACACAGATTTCCTGAAAAGTCAAAACACAGTATAACAAAGTAACTGCAACATAGTTCACAATTTTATTTTCACAATTGTAAGACAAAAGTAAGAAAGGTTCAGAGATATTTTCCAGTTTGATTTCAAAGTTTTTATGACCCACTGATTCCAAGTCAAGTATTTTCTACAGGATGCTACTAGGCTAGCCTAAAATGTACTCATGACAAGTGCTATTCAGATATTTCAGTGTTAAGATGTGTCATAAAAGCAAATACATCTTGAAATCAATTTTGCTTGCACATTCTATGCATACTGTTTTGAAGCTAATCTGACATCCCTACTGTGAGTGCAATGAAGAGTTCTAAGAACAGGAATATCACTATGTAAGTGCAACCCTAACAGCTATTCACTTCTTCCAAAAAGAAAGGGGTCTTAACACAAGCTTCCAGCAAAGCTCATTTTCTGATTGCAGAGATTTAAAGGGGACTGAGAGAGCTCTGAAACACCTGCGAGTGACTGGTGCTAACAGAATGTCCTGGGAATCACCCATTTCAGCAACTGAAAGTTGTACATCAACTCTCACCACTCAAGGATATCTTTTTATCAATATTCTATTACCTCTGCTAAATTACAGCAGACACTCCAGCAACCACTATTTCAAGAAATATTGTTTGTATTTGCAAAAGACAAAGTACTGAACTTTAAAAGCCTTATATGTCCCTACTCTCCTGAAGTAAAGCTTCTGGTAACTTCAGAGAAGGGTGAGTTATACCAACACTGAATACTTTTCAAACTCTACCTTGAATCATAAATGCCAGTGCACTGTGTAGTACAAGCTGCAAAACAATGACAGCAAAACAAAGGGGGGAGAAAAACAATGCTTTAAGTACTGGTGTCTAAGCAGTTCCCAAACACATTACTCTTATAGGTCTGACTAAACAAATTCATGAACATTTCTGTTCAATAATCATGAAATAAGTAATGAGGAAAAGAAGCCAGTTGTACCGGGTTTGCATGGCAAGGATTTTGTAGCAGGGGCACTGCAGAGGTGGCTTGTGTGAGACGATGACAGAAGTTTCCCTGACGCCCAATGGAGCCAATGCCAGCCAGCTCCAAGACAGACCCACCACTGGCCAAAACCAAGCCAACCAGCAATGGTGGTAGCACCTCTGGGATAACATAGTTAAGAAGGGGGAAAACTGCTGTGCAACAGCAGCCAGAAAAGATGACTGAGAGAAACAGCTCAGCAGACACCAAGGTCACTGAAGAAGGAGGGGGAGGACGTGCTCTGGGCACTGGAACAGAGATTCCCCTGCAGCCAGTGGTGAAGACCATGGTGAGGTAGGTTGTCCTCCTGTAGCCTACGGAGGTCCACAATGGAGTAGATATCCACCTGCAGCCCGTGGAGTAACCAGCAATGGAGCAGGCAGATGCTCAAAGGAGGCTGCCACCCTGTGAAGAGGAGCCTGCACTGGAGCAGGCTCCTGGCAGGACCTGTGACCCCATGGGGACCCATGCTGGAGCAGCCTGTGCCTGGAGGATTGTACCCCATGGAAAGCACCCACACTGGAGCACATCTTGAACAGCTGCAGCCCATGAGAAGGACGCACATTAGAAAAGCTTGTGAAGAACTGTCTCCCATGGGAGGGACCCCAGCTGGAGCAGGGCAACAGTGTGAGGAAAAAGGAGCAGTAGAAATAATGTGTGATGAACTGACCACAACTCCTCCCCCCATTCCCCTGTGCCACTCAAAGGGAGGGGGCAGAGAGTTTTGGAGTGAAGTTGAGCCTGCGAAGAAGTGAGAGATGAAGGGTAAGGTGTTTAAAGATTTGGTTTTATTTCTAATTATCCTACTCCAATTTGATTGCTAATACGTTTAATTAATTTCCCCAAGTCTGTTATGCCCATGACTGCAACTGCTGAGTGATCTCCCTGTCCTTATCTCAACCCATTAGCCCTCTGTTATACTTTTTCTCCCCTGTCCAGTTGAAGAGGGGGAGACATAGACCAGCTTGGTGGGCACCTGGCATCCAGTGAAGGTCAACCCACCACAGTCTTCACTGTTCTTTATAACAAGCCTTGTAACTAGGTTTGATAAATCTAGCCCTTCATCAGTAATAACATGTAACAGCTCCAGCACCACTGAAATACTTACTGATTAGACCACATTAAACAGTGCGGAAAAAGCATCTTAAAATTTGATTTTGTGTCTTTTCCTCATTTCTCTAACATATTCAAACATGCAACCAGAGGAAAGGAAGATGCATGCAAATGCATGCAACAGAGCTATCTGCTATTGATATTAACTTGGAACAGTTTTTTGACAGCTCCTACTTACAGTAAGGCGAGGGCATTTTGACTTGGCAAAAACTCCCATGAATATATCAGGGGCATTGAACTCCTGAAGAAATAGAGCAACATCCTGTGGAGAAAGTGAAAGGAGAAGTAAATGGATTTCTACCATTTCCAAACACAAAATAAAACTTTTTCTCACAGCACAAGGACTGAGCCAAAGAGATGTCAAACTCACTACAAGAGATCAATTATTTTCCAATATAATACCAATAATCCTTGCTTTTCAATAACACAAGATCAGCAAGCCCCTGTGATTCAGGACACCAGTGATCTTCTACACAATGAGCCAAAAAGTCATATTTAGCTTGTTTTTCTCTCTGTCTCAACAGAAGGTCAGAGATGCCAAGTCAGAATTCAGCAAATGCCATGTTTCCAGATACTTATGTCACCCACACATACAAAAAGAAACAAGGGAAGGGATTGCCACTAACACTTGATCAGGGCATACAAAAGAGGAAATCTCCTTATTTTACCAGAGCAAACTACAAGATTAGTCTTCTCTGTGGGAGTGAAGGACACATCTTCCATATTTATCTAAAGTACCTAAGGAAGAGTCATAATAATTTATTTTTTTTTTTTAAATTGTTCCAGCATTTGAGAATGTTGAGAAAAATACCAAAAAGTGATGTCAGACTGCCACGGTGAGTCTGTAGCTAAACTTTCAGAGGTTGTTTATCTGAGAAAGCTATGCTCATTGCCAGGATGCATTACAACTGCTAGATGAAAATACACCTATTTAAAGACAGTATCAACATTATCTCCACAGTCAAATTGCTGAAGATACAGGCTATGCAGCTGAGTTCATTTCAGCTACAGCTAAGACACTGTCTTCTGGCATCTCCAAGCTTTGGTTCAACTCGTGCACATAATACAGAAAACCACCAGGTGTGAAATGGCCCCATTTGTGCCAGCTGACCCTGAGCAACAGCACCACAGGATCCACTAGACACCTGGGAGAAGGTCCTGCAGGCCACCCCTTTTGTTTGTTTGTTTGTTTGTTTTTAACAAGGTAAAGCTCTGCTTTACATCCTCAAACAGCAGCAGGGATGCAACAGAGGCCTGTGCTTGCAAACTAGCCCTGGGCCAAAGAGTGCACGCCTTAAAAACCAGCTTTCCTCATAAGCCCCGATGCCAGTTCAGGCCTGGCCTGCCTAGTGACCCGCAGGACACTGACAGCCAACCCCGGGAATAACAAGCAGCAGCCGGGAAATCCCCCAGCCCGCTCCCCGGTGCCTCCCCCCGCTCCCAGGGAACCCTCCTCGGGGCCCGACCCGCTCCTACCTCGTCCATCGACATGTCCCACACTTTGCAAATGTCGTTCTCCATCTCCTCGTCCAGCTCCGCCCGGCTGCCCGGGGGGCTGCCCGGGGGGCTCCCTGCGGG